AATGACGTCAAACAAGATGGCTGTTACTATAAATGTTGGCCAATGGCGTACCCCTGACTGCTCCTGACGTTCTCTAATTATCCGCTTGTGTCGCAGACACCCAGCCCCCATGACAAGAAACCTGACCAGGTCAAGCGCAAACGTACAACCAAGACCACAACTACTTCAGCAAAATGGCCGAAGCTATGCACACATTTGTTGTGACAAATAAACACAGTGTTCTTCAACACAAAGCATATATTGAGATTTGTTTTTATACAGTAACATGATGTGACCAATGTCTAGTAGATTATTTATTCTTTATATTTTTTTTCTCCTCGGTATTTTATTGATTTTCGAGAGTTTTCCGGTGTTTTCAGCAGTTTTCGGGGAGGGGGGGGGGGTGTCGGGGTTTTTCGGTAAAACTTCATACCCTTATAATTGCGCACTTTTATGGCTGCTGTTTTTTGTTCTCAGTTTTAAAACCTCGCTTCGAAGCATACGCACGATGGGCTGCACAATTTTCCCTAAACGATGGACAAAACACCAGACTCGCTATAGCCGAGTGAACGCAGTACCTTTCCACCCTTGCCCCGCATTATGGCTCAAATTGAGTCAAATGGTGCGCTCCAGAGGGAACTGGAAATACGTCAGAGTGCTTAGTTTAAGTTATTTTAATACAACACTATGGTCCCAGGATATTGACGGACAGATGGAAGTGTCTTCTTGTTTTCGTTTTCGTCACTCGTCGAAGCCACTGGCCTCTACTTAACGTGGGGTCGGGAATTTCCCCCGAGGGTGTAAGGACTTGGTGTGCCTGTCTCACTCAGTGCAAACAGATGATCTCTTGTCTGTTGGGAGTGATACGTGTGTGTATGTGTGTGTGTGTGTGTGTGTGTGTGTGTGTGTGTGTGTGTGTGTGTGTGTGTGTGTGTGTTTGCCTCACAAAAGCTCCATAATGTCGGCAATTGTTTTAAAAGTAAGGCTCAGGTAATTTTATTAATGGGTTTTTCAATTCATAATCAGCTGCTTTTAAAAAATATTTCAGATACCGGTATTTTGATATTTATTAGGACATTTTGCAAGCTCTGTAAAATAATGTTCAAAATAAGTCTTTATTATTTGATATTCAATACATTGAAAGTAAGTAAAATGTCAATAAAATTGTAGAGCAGAGCATTAAAGTTGTTTCTAAAAAAATCTACAGAAAAACAAAACTGATGAGAATACGGAAAAGTTAGGTCAAACGTGATGTTGACCTGATTTTTTCTCAGGGCCTGCCATCGATGTGCGCAAATGGTTCCATTGGAATTTAAACGACTGTATTAATGCCCATTACAATTCACAGTATTGGGGTTGATCACGTTTAAAATGTTCATATTATTAGATGACTGAGTTTTTTGTTTTAGTAAGAGTTTTATGGCACCTGCTACACAATAAGGTCATGTAAGTGCCGAAGATTAGAGGTGTTACAAGAGAGTAACAAACACAAAATAGAAGTAGGAGAGATAAGGAAAATAGATATTTGGTAGGAAAGAAGGAGCAAACCAAACCAGAGCACCAGCCAACCACCCAACTAACAGGGTTTGCGTAAAACTAAAACATACACAAATAATAATGGCGGGTGGTCCGAGGGCATTATCTATAGGCCCTACTTCTTTAGTTTCCCTCTATTGTTTCTGTCTGTCGTTCTTACTTTTCCCCAGCTCGAGATCACCATTCTTGTATCGATATACTTCTCTTTACTAGAACAAAGAAACATAGAATATGGAGTTTCTTTTTCTGCGTTCATTTCCTGCCCTTTTGGATGAAAAAGTAGACAGATGAACAGAATGGCAGACTCAGAGGACAGAGACAAAAACGTCGAAGTGCAAAACACTTAAATTCGTCGGATCGCACGTAGTCGTGAGTTGTATTTTTATACTCAGGAGCAGAATTAACTGGACGCTTGCTAAGGCGCGATTTTAATCGTTCAATAATATGTATGTATATATATATATAT